ACTTGATGGTGCTTGACTCGGTTTAAAATAAGGGAAAGTGGAAGACACCACAATACCTAGGACCGTGTCGATGGACTGGTGCACATCCCTGTCCCATAATGCATAATAATTAATCACGTCTTACAAATACCCACAAGTTGCACTTAGTATTATAGCGAGCTATATCGGGAATCAGACGTTCCTTTTTTGGCCACCTTGTCATGTGATCAAATCTAATAGTGATTTAACTGATGATCACGATCCCTCGTTATTTATATTCCGGTACCGCTATCACCGTTGCGATCCACGTAATGCAGTAATTCTTAAGTCATTTTTCCTTAATATTTAGTTTGTCGATAAATATAATTATGCAAATTTGAAAACAGTTCTTGTTGAAGTTATTTTCTGCAAATGCAGTGCGCGCTGTGTTAGTTTAATATTTATGAACCATTACTATAAAAAAAGAATTAGTTATTGGAAAACAAAAAATGATTCCACCTTAGACCATTTTCTTCGATTTTCAGGATTTCGTAAATTTAACAAAAATAAGCAGAAGTCAATGCTCCTTATGAGCAGTCATTGTAGGTCATTGTTTTGCAAGCAAAAAAACTGACTGCTATCTAACGTTAATACAAGTAAACAAACAGCAGACACAAAATATTCCAAAATTTTATGTTAAAGGTATCAATCAAGCACAACATTTAAAGCTCGACCTAAATTTGTGATCTAATTTTAAAGTTTCGACAGTCAAAAGTAATTGTGTAGCATCAGTGTCTCCAAATTTATTCGCTGCGGTAAAATTAAACCCTTCCCTGCTATTTGGTCCTTAAAGCAATATAAATGCAAATGTGTCACGAGAAGTTGGTTAGTTAACACTCAAATTAATGTTACTGCTACGAAGAGCAAGTGACGCGAATGTAACTGTTGAGTTGCGTGCTTTTGTGCTTGGATATGGCTGAGCGCGCACCAAAGTCTTTCTGATCTGTATGTACGCGCTCATTTGCACACCCTTTTTATGTACCCGAAGTGTTACCTTGCTAGCTCACTCATCTGCGCTTACAAAACTGCTGACGCAAATCGCGCTCTGGTTAATCACCCATCCTGTCTGCTTTATTTTTACTTTGTTTATCCGCAACTTTTCCCCACACTTGCACTTAACGCAATGATAAACAAGCAACGCATTCTTAAAATCCTGCTTCACCACCTTAGGGAACTATTTTGGTTGAATTACTCCTCACGAATTGGAACAAGTGATTTCCAGTGGGTCTTAAAACTATGCGAAGTCTGAATTTGGCGTCAAAATGGTGAATTATTCGTTCTGATAGTTGGAAGGCAACTGATCAAATTCTTATTTGAACGTTTCCTGGCATCCACCTTTATCCAACAAATTTTGAGGCATGAGGTGTGATGCTTTTGCCAAACGATGCACAAGTCTTTCAAAAAAGGGTGCAGGTGAATAGATCTGCTATGAAATATGCAAATATATGAGTTGAAACATACTCCAGTCATAAACGCGTATTTGTATCCTCGAAATCGCTCATGGAGATGGCTTCAATATTGATATTATTCAACTGTAAGACTTCTGATTTTATTAAAAGTAGACACAACGAATGTCGAGGCCAAGCGCCTTGGGAATCTTTGTGTAAAATGCGTACAGAAATCATTGAACCCGAAGCAATTTATTATCGGACATCCAAAAAACAGTGGCTACAGCTATAAAACCCGACAAATTAGTATCCATTTTAAGACAATTGTAATGAAGCTTTAGTTCAATCAACTTAGAGATACAGTGAAGGCACGATCCTGTTGCCTTATTTTCGGATGCCATGCTGATACTTTTAGTGTTCTTCATGTCACCTCATTTGTTATCCCACCAGCCCTTCAGTGTATTTATAAGCAAGCTATGCGGCAGCTAAAGAAGTTTGTGACGTATTTAGTATTGGAATTCGAGTAATTTTAGAATGCTTTTCGGAACAAATTTTTCATTAAAATCCTCATCATCATTAAAGAATCTGCATTCCCAAACAAGATGCAAGCCTGTTGTAAATTCAAATTTCACAAAACATTTCATCTCCACAAGGAAACAACCCACCTACAACCAAATACGTTTCCACCGCATTTCTATTACCCATCTGTCCATTCTATTCCAATTGTGATAATGTTATCAGCTAATGCAAATACCACAAAATAGTTGAAATTATCACTTGAAATACAAATGTGTTAGATGAATAACTAGTACAGTTACATTTTATTCAAGGATAAGTTCTGCAGTACGTGTCGTGAGTTGTGTCGTCTGATGTTTGTAGGGCTATCACCCCAATGACCAATTCACTAGTCTTACCTGTTTCCAGGAAAAACAGGGAAGAATATCTTCTTACACGCCTTTGAAGGCCTCGTAGTGAAATGAACAGATATATCACTGCCCTAATTGTTTGTCAATCAGCCAGTTAACAATTTATAGTGAACAGTTGTGGCTTTATTGTAGGGAGGGCTCGGACACCGATTGTAATTGTGCTAATTGCTGAATACAAGATTAAGTGAAATAATCGTTTTCTTTATCAACACTTGCCCTGGCAATTGTTATTTGAATAAAAGACATTTTGGTAGATTTCAACCTTTATAATGAATCAAGACTTTGAATTATAGGCAAATTTAGCATACTTGCTTAACAGTTATTATTGTTGACATTGGAGCGATAATTTAAAAAGGTTTTGCTTTTTACCATAAATTGCGCTATGCTGCGGTATAATGCTGTGCTGACAGAAAATAGCTTTAGTTATACTAAACGAGCCATGTAGAATGAGCCATCATCAAGTACCCGAGGTCTGATTTTATCAGTTCGTTAATGCACGTGCATAAAATATTCTAAATTTCTAAACAGTTTAGAAGTTTGGTAAGAAATCCAACTGGAAATTGTCTGATGAGCTCAACATTACGACTACATTGTATTTGGCTTACGTTGCTAATGTTAACACCCCATCATCCCTCTTTTGAACTTATGCTAAATTCTAGCCAGAATCAAATATCTCAGCGCCTTTAAAGAGGACTTAAGTTTTGAGTTAAATATACCACAAATATTGGAATTTAAAATATGTATTTCTTCCGAAAAACCTCTTTCGTCGCCACATACCATATCTTTGTTCACGGAACCCTATGGGGTTGTCATTATCGGACATAAAAGACACCATAATTTTCAAGCTTGCATTATGGAGCTAAGCTTTTGAAGTACTTCCAACTATATTTTGTTAACCTTGAACTCAAATTATGTTCTTGAAAAACACATTGTTGATTCACAAGAAGCTTTTTGATAACGCGTTGACTCATAGCTGGACCTAGCGCAACATCACATGTGCCGGCTAATATGTTACCAATATAGACGACAATGGTTTATTATATTTCACTTCTCTTTCTAGCTTATGAAACTTTCGTCTATTTAATCTGACCAATTTAATAGGCAGCGTATTTCTAAATTGTCACCTTACTTCAATCTGAACTTAAATTACTCATTGTAATACGAGGAGACAAAAAATTTCGCCTCTCCAGTATTTGCTGTCTTCTTGATGTCCAACTTGAAAACACCCTGCTTTACTACCATCCAAACGAAAATAGATAAGTATAATTGAAAACCTTGTTCGCTACAATACTAAAATTGTTCCTATTTAATAGATCCCACTTTCTAAACAGGAGATGGTATTGGGTATCTGCAGTGAGATTTCGGAGAACTTTGAATTAAAAGGCTGTATAATTTAAACTCAAATTTGGTAATATTTGCTTAAGTTTTAGTGCATCTTATATAACCTCAGGTAGACAATGGTTATCTTTATTGCATTGAAACACCTACGGGAAAGGCAGATAAATAGGTAGACTGTGTTTTATGGGAAAATATTACCTACATTTCGGACTTTTAATATGATAACTTATATTTATACAGTTTATTTCTTGCGCTAAGCAATCAGGCAGAAAAACTCACAAGAATAAATCCCATGGTTCTTTTTAAATTTCATAACCAAATCACTTGATGACTCGCTACTTGTATTAACAAGTAGACACATTCTTACGTAACAAGCACGAATACATTTTCCATTATTGTTTCTAAGAAATATGCGTTATCAAAAGGGCTTCAAATTTGACATCCTAATCATAAATTCGGGTAACAATTTTTTTGTTTGCTTGTTGCGCCCTTCTTGTTTTAAGCAACCACTCGCACAATACAGAAGAATCAAACTCGTAATTCCTTTTTCCGCTATACACTTCAAGCCAGCAGTTTTAAACAATTTTGATGGTCTAACAGTACGATTAGTTATGTGAAACTAATCATAATCCGCTTTATATGATGAAAATTAATGTAATGTTTGGTAAGGGGCCGCGCTTGATATGGTGAAACATCTTACCAACGGTTCCATGTGGCATCAAATTGCTGCTCTTTGAAGAATATAACAGCTATTATTTACCTACTAATGTATTAAACTTTAAACAATCAATTGAATCTTAAGAAGCCGAAATTGTTATGGTCCCATGAGAAGTCGGCAATCACGGCAAATCAAGACAGTTAATAGCCACAATGCCCACTAGGTTGTGTTCTTAATATCTATTAATTTGCCCAAACATTCATATGATCTAAAAATTCGGGAAAAAATAGTGGTTGTAGCAATTACTATAACCTCTTTTACTGGCAAGTTACGATGACAGCATTTTCACAATGATCATTGTGTCGCCATTGCACGCGCTTCATGTGTTTTAAAATATACGGCATATTTAAAAAGCAGATGAATAATTTAGAATTGGAATAACCGGCCTGTAAAGCGCAAAATTCCCGTATTACGTGATTTTAATTAAAATCTACCTCTAGTAATATTATTTATGCAAGCATGCTAAATAAAGATCATTCCTATCTATAAAATTTTAGAAGAGCTTTCCAATGAAAGCTTTGCCAACAAATTTTTTGCATTTGCAATACTAGATCTTAATGGATCCATAGAAGTAAACTGGATCAGTGAGAGAACGATCAGGAAGTAAAAAAACGCCGATCTTATACGCAAACGCTGCAAAAGGCCACACAGACGCAGTATTAGTTGAAAGTTTTAACTGCGTATGATGCAACGCACAAAGCAAGTTAAGGACACATTGGCGTGGGAATGATTACGGATAAAAGGCGCATTTCTCTTGCCGGCACTTACTCCGACGTGTCATGCTCACTGGAGGCGGTGGAGGCAGTGGTTGTGGTTTCAGCGGTCCCTCCCGCGATTTTACCTCCTCGAGCGCTGAGTAAGTTCTCCACTCCTCTTCTTGTCGTTATCATCACCACGGATTACTGATTTCCAGTGTTTTGTGGTTTCATGAAACTAAATTTTAATTAGATAAGTTTAGCTGATTGCTAATATTGTGCTTGTAATGAAACGATTACCACCACATGGTGTATTGAGTCCTCACCTTTCTCCATCAATAATGCATTTGACAAAATTTACTTTCTAGGCCGATGTTTAGACAGCCAACGTGCTTTTGTGGTTGTTGTAATATCCACCATAACTCTGCTCAATCTGGAAAGAAAACATTAAATGGAGGGATGAGCAATATCTCAAGCCAGCAGTCACAAGTACTCACTTTTCCCGATTCCAAAGCTCCTGTGGGTATTTATTATTCTTATTTCTCCTCCATCCTTAAAAGCTCTAGTAAGCGATTTCCTCTCTATTTTTCACTGCTAGCTTTCGAGTTTTAACGAAGGTAGACGAATCAGTGTTACCTCGTCAAGTGCGAACACTTGGGAGGCAGATTTTCAACGTTGCGGTCATTCGGAATTTAAAAGCAATGAGGTGATTTATTGTGCAAATATAGCTGTCTCAGAACCCTAACGTTTTTAAAAATAATAATTTTGGGGGTAAAAATATTGCTTCCAGTGAGTTATTACTAAAATAAAAATGCCTTTTAGATACAGCAGCAATCGATGAGCCAAATGTCTCAACAGCACTGTTGTTTTCCTCCGATCATAAGTGGAGGAAGTGTAGAAATCGTTAAGGTTGGTGAAGGTATGTGTACATTGCGAATGAGTTTGGTGAAAATAATGTTGGTCGCTGCTAAACAAATTTCTTCAATTTTAGGGCCTCCTCTTACATGGGCTGATCTTCAAAGACACGGTAAATTATTTTAAAATTATTCAATTTAATGATACAGATGGAAATAACTACAGAAAAGTTTCTATATAAGGAACCTTTTCGTTTCCCGATGGAAATGAATGGCCAACGCGCATGCATTCACAACGACCATCGTCAATCCAGCAAACAAGTCAAGCATCGGCACAGAAATGTCCTCCCTGGAGGGCATTCACTATGCATGAATCCAAACGCACGCCTATCTCTGAATACAGCAACTGGTCACAAAGAAAGAAGTCCACACAACAAGTACACGAGCTGCCTCACGACTTCATGATCTATAAATCATCACCACCGTCTGCAGCTCAAGGAACTTCCAAGCCCATGGCTTCTGAATCGGGGTGTTTCTGTGATCAAGCAAAACTGGCCACAACCACCGCCCAAACAGAAAGCCCTATCATCCACCAACAGCATCATCATCACCCAATACTAATGGCTCCACATGCATGCAGTCTGTGTTCTTGTGGTGGCCAAAATTTCAGTACTGAGCCCTGGCAAGCCGCTAGCGATTCCAGTGGCGGTGTACCACTGGGGCCTATTTCTGAGGTTCAGCAAAAGAAATACAGTTTGCCTCCCGCCAGTCACCATTCACCCGAGCAACGTACTAGCTATCGCACTAAACGTCTATACTGAATAACATCTCTTATGCTCATTTTAGGAAATACTCAGCGTTTTATTTTAATGTCCGTGATTTAAGATCTACAATTGTATTGTTGTTGAATTTTATTTTATCGGGTGTTTTTGGCGTAGGTCAAAAGCGGTAAATGAATAGCCATTCATCGCTCTTAGCGGAAAAATAAAAGTCGCATCAGCCTTTTAATTTGTTACAAATTTTTATTTCAATGTTTTAAATCAAAAAAATATGGTAGTGAAGTGTGCGCATTATGTGATTGTCAAATAAAGAAGACGGCTTTACTCACTTGTTTCAAATAATTTGCTTGTTCACAGGTAGTAGCCATTTCAACTGGCCCGAAAAATAAAATTCTAAAGATGTAAAATGGATTTTTGCAAACAAAAATTGCGGAACTTAATGGGATCTGCCTTGTTTTTAAGTGGATGATGAAATTTGGTCGAAAAATCCACGTCGATAAGTTTGCGCTTGATCCGAATCTGTTTGTACTTCCCTCAAAAGTCCACCATCTAATACAGCGTGTCATAAAGCATCAAATAGGAATACCCTTTGCTATTCTAATTGCTGCTAGCTTAAAATCGTAGCTGGAAATGCAAACCAAACGAGTTGACCTGTGTATGGTCATTTTCAGGCAAATCTCCCTTGTGATTAATTTCCACATCCTTTTTCAATTTTAAATGAAATCATAAAAATGTTTATGTATTTCGTTTTACCGACAAAAGGCCCAAATTTTCTTTGGAATTATAACAAGGAAAACCAGAAAGCGGTAAATATGTTTGTTGCGAAACGTTATTTCCACGGAATTGAATAGTGGAATTATTCGAAGGAGGGCTGATAACTTCATACATTGCAAAAAATTCAAATAATAATCGTTTATTAAAGTTTATTACAATGAATAGAAAAATCAAGAATATTTTCCATATGACAAATGCTTTAAAACCTTAGGATAAAGTAACTCGAAATTCCAATTCACACGGATAGTCTAGTGTCAAAGAAACTCGAATGTAGTATAGACAGTAAGGTCATGCTTTGTGGTGTTACATAATAAAAAGAATGGGGGCTTTCACCCCAGTGACCAATTTACTAGTCTTACCTGTTTCCGGGAAAAACAGGAAAGAATATCTTCTTGCACGCCTTCGAAGGCATCGTAGTGAAATGAACAGATACATCTCGGCCCTAATTGTTTGTCACTCAGCCAGTAAACAATTTGTGGTGAGCAATTGCGTCTCCACTGCACAACGCTCAAATTAAGCATCCATTTTAAAGATGAACTGGTGCACTACGTGTTTGGTGGATGTTGTGTTTAGCGAAGAATCATTCGGAATAAGAAATGATACATTGATACATTCAACGAATCGCGAACAGCAATATTAGCACAATCTTCTCCATTTCTTGTTATTGGAGTAGTAATACACCTCGCATCGAGGAATGCATCACTACAGTTGAATCGTTTAAGTCAATTCGTTTTGTTTCTTTGCAATACTCTATGCCATCCCACACTGCACCTTCTCCGTGTGACACATCAGCACAGTTGACAGGAAGCCATTTCCCCTTTAGCTTTGGAATGCGAGTTCATTCGATTCGTAAAGCCGACATCTAAGATAGCGCCTGTCAGTTACTTTTAACTGCCGCTTGATGGTGCCTGACTTGGTTCAAAATAAGGGAAAGTGGAAGACACCACAATACCTAGGACCGTGTCGATGGACTGGTGCACATCCCTGTCCCATAATGCCTAATAATTAAACATGTTTTACAGACGCCTGCACCTTGCAGCAAGTTGTTACATTGACCTCGGTTCAAAACTGCAAGTCGTTTTTACCATGTAAATTTTTCTTTGCAGCATTGTTCAATTGAGTAGGTTTCTTTCATTTTACTTCACGGCACCATCTTTTATGACTTTCACCTTAGTTAATCTTTCCGACATAACACTAATCTAAGGTATGTCAAAATTTCCACAGACCTTTTTAATTTGTCCATGATAATTTTGGTTTTGCATGGTTGATTTTATACAAAGATTTGTTAATGTCGAGGTTTGCCTATAGCTATCAGAATGTCTATAATAGAACAATTTTTGGTTAAGTTGTATATTTATTTACTGAAGCTAGTCATTCCTCCTAGAGTGAGCTAAAATTTTGGTGATCATTCCATATTTGATCTTTATTTCTGAATCTTTAGAAATCTGTTGCATTTTATTAGAAACCTCGTTGTCATCAAACATGAATAATATTTGGAATTTAGAGTTTATTGAGAGCTCTGCATGTGAATGATCTTGTACTGACATAACTCCTCTAAGTATTTTGCAAAAACTTTCAGTTTATTGCAAGTATAAGAAACAGATTTTGAATTTTGCAAAAATTAAATGAATGAATCACTTATTTTGGCGTCAATACGAGCGTAAGAGACATTAACAAGTGAAAACGGAGATGTCATAGATGAAAAGTTGAACGTTTTCACTTAGCAGCATCCATACCCACCGCCATAACGGTAGGGTGCAAATGGACCAGTGTTGCTCCAACCATGAGGCGGCGCAAAATTGCTTCCGCAAGTTATCCAAGAACTAAAGAAATAAGCAGGATGCATTGCTAAGTGTTTAATTTGATACAACTTACTAAACAAATAACAGACCGAAATTTCTACATATATAAAATTGTCGCATTTCTACAAGTATTTTCTGGAGCATAATTTGGAACCGCAAATTCAAAGTTGTAACTTACTGTCCTGGAAAGAAACCACAGGGATCTGTTACATAGTCGGAACAGACGGTTCTGCAACAGCAACCGCAACTGCAGTTCATAATGTATTCTTAATGTCGGTTTCGTCCACCAGACGAGGAGGATTTAAATACTTTTCGGTTAAGCCATAACGCGCAATTCTTAATCTTGAAGTGCGTACTGTCCTCATATTTGCACATTTCCGCAGATTAACTGGGTTTTTCAAAGTGAACTCCACATCCGTATGCGTATTTACAGCCAGTCATCGTCAGCAAAAAAGTCATTATCTTTATTATTTAAAAACAAGTAAAATATGCAGATAAGCATACAAAAAACCTTTTGTCCTCACTATTTAACACAATCGACTTATTCTTAAAGATGTTTTATAAATGCCGCCGGTGATTGAATAAAGGTGTTTAGTTGATATTTTAACCCAACTTTTTATTTTATTTATTAATCAGAAGTAATTTTGATGGACAATAGGTACAATTCCAAAAAGTGAGTAAAGTTTTTAGTAAAGGAAATGCTTTGTTTGTACTAAAGCCTATGTGTTTTCCCTTAAAATTGTAAAATTATTTCACACATTCCCGTAGTCTTAAGTGGTTCTTTAATCGCAAAAATAGTTCAAAGTTGTGGGAATTTTAGGGATCATTTGAGGTAGAGAAGTCACAATTTAGTCCTCAAGATGAAAACTTGTTCTCGTGGAAAATACATTATCTGTCTGATATACTGGGTAATTCCACTTTAATTTTACGCAATTTTTTTACGGCAATTAAATTTTATTTAAAACTAAAGCATTAGTTAGGCATACTTTCTTCAGTAAATTTCAATAGCTGATTTCTAAATAAATTAGTCTGCAGAATTATGTGGTTATTGTATTTTTCTATTATGCGGCAGACTTAATGCTAAAATAACAAATGTGCCTTCCGTAAAATCTCTAGACAATATCTATGCTTATGCATTTAAATTTGTAAATAAAGTTACTTTGTTTTGGGAATTATGTTCAAATGCACCCCACAAGGTATTTGCCTAAGTGTGTATTTTGAATCATTATTATACATTTTTGAAGGTATTCGTCATCTTAAATTCAAAATATTTGACTCTTGATCAGCTTTTCTCCTTCCTTTCTATACATTGATAGCATACTATGCCAAATACTTTATTATCTGACTGTCTGAATTATCAAACACGATCTGAAGTCCTAGATAGTAAAGGTAGCAATAATTATGCAATTCCGCTTGACAAACTATTCTTATGAATTGAGAAGTCCCCAAAGTAATTCAAATGACAATTTTATTAGTTTTCAATGATAGTAACTTAACACAACCTATTTCTTACCAATCCTGAAACAAACTGATGAGGAAGAATAGTCGTAATGACAACTATCCATTTTCGTTACAATTGCCGTATGTGTTTAGTCACTTCATCATTTACTTAGGCATATTGAAAAAGGTTCTGTTTATTTATTATATTTTCCGTTTTTTTGTATTATCAAACAGAAACGGTGGCTAGCGTAAAACCAACTTAGTAATAACAATCAAAAACGAAATTACTTAACTTGGCATTTACCACCACTATTAATAATTAATACAGTTGAATATGGGAAACTCCTCCGCAATAACAGTTAAATGCTAACAAAGGGGTTATTTTAATAACAAGACATAACTTGAAATTGTCATCTAGGTGCGCAAATCCGTGTGACCCCGAACAAGAACGTTTTTCCTTAGTTAGCCGCAGATGCAAAATGCGCAATTTGTCCTCTTAATAACGAACTCATTAATAAATATAAAAAGGCTCCTTTTGAAGCTTTGCTTAATTTTGCTTGCCTGCGTTTTTATCGACACAAACATGTGCAGCACCGGACAATGCACTCGCCTTGGCGCCGACCCTAATGTAGTTTATCCTGTCAAGTACGTCCAGTTATACATTGTAATCGCGATTTTGATCAAAAAGAAAGTCTCTCTCATTATGTTTTATTGGTAATCCTAGTAGATTTTTGAAACGATCGCAGTTTGGAATTTAACTGAAAAATAAATCATGTATTCTATTCTAAAATATGGAGGTGGCATAAGTCAATCATAAATTCAACTCTCGATGGTGATTACCTACTTGTTTTACGATACTTTTACTTATGAATTCATTGAGATTGTTTGCATACGCACAAACTTAAAAGTCCCATTCCAAAGAAACCTAATTACAAATAGAATAAGTTCTTTAATTGCTTAATTTTCTTTGGCTGATAGGGCTACTACATGTTGTAAAACACGCTACACCGTGTTGAGACCAGAGTACTACGAATGTACTCGCTGCTATGAGACCTGCACGCCATGCAATGTGCCGTGCGCTCCAAACAACTCACCATGTGCTACTGCCTGTGGACCGCAAATGTGCTCTGGTGGCGGCTGTTACCGCTAGCTTTGGACTGCCTTTAGCTCAAACTATGCACTGACAAGCCTCTCAAAACTGTTCACATGGGTGCTAAATGCATTCCCTTTAAAATGTTTAAAAAACATATGCAATGAGAGCTTGTAACTTATGAAGTTCATTTCAGTTCTATAATAAAAATTTTGATCGTATTTAGACGATTGATCGGTTTCAATGCCATAGGTAAGATACCTGATGAGCAAGAGAAGACTAGCCCATACTAGCATTAAAGACGAATACTACATTTAATATCCGTGAAACTAACCAATGTGCCAAATCATTATTAATGATATCTCAAACTAGCCCTCCGATAAAATATCCCATTCAACTATTCTCTTGAAAAACCATTATTTAGGGAACTAGGTTTTCCCCTTAACAACGCATCCAAAGGTTTATACTCATCTTGTTGATTGGATCAAGCAACTCTCAAATCGTTATAAACATTCAAATGTAAAATAAGAAACAGAAGTTTAGTAAATTGTTTATCTTGCTGACTTACTTCAGGCAAATTTTAGCCATGCAAAGCTTAAAAGACCTCACAGCTTGGGGGGCAAATTGCGGAAATTAATTGCTTTTAATCCATTTAATTGTGGCTACAAAATCATTTAGGCGAAAATGACTTCATTCATAGATTTTTGAGACCCAAGCTGTACAAAATGAATAAACGAGGACTTTCATAATAGCAGTTTAAAGGACAAAATTCATCACTGGCATTCTAAATATAGAGCCATAAATGTATTGATAGCGATATTCTACTTCAAATATGCTTTCATGATCTAAAATATTTCATCTAAACAATAGTCAATGTTTTGGGATTGCGTCACATTTGTCAGACGTATTGGCGAATCCATCAATTTAATATCGCCAATGCACCCAACGAAACCTCCAATTTGCCCTTTTTTCTTGATCGTTGGATGCATTTCTTGCAAAAAGTGGAATTTGTCGATTATGGATTGTGGAGCACCCCCTAAAATAAGGTAGTTAAATAAAAACTTACCAACATAGGATGTTGCTCGATTGTAGAAGTGATTTGCAAAATGTAGGATGTTCATAGTTAAACAAGATTTCCCATTAACATAGACCCTCAATGCATTATGATTCCTAGCAGAGCATTACATTAGTTTTGAATGGTATACCTTGAAAGTGTGATTGTGTACCATTTCGCTGGTAAAAGCCTAGTACTTGAGAAATTCGACTGATAATTTACGAAGGACGAGGCGATTGGCCGATCCGGTGGCCACCCAATCGGAAGATCCCATATGTCTAACCCCAGCGACGATCCATTGCCTTGCATTCCCACGAAAATGCACTGAACCCTTGAGGTGCTTTCGAATTTTATCGTAAAAATGATTTCATATGAGTCACCTAACTTTGATTTACTTATATTTGCAGAAATTTTAAGCGTTGGGGTTAGTTTCCTACAAGCGCAAATGTTCACATTATTTTTGTGGGTCGCAAGACGTCTAGAGTGATTTTCGGTAACTTACGGTAAAATTGACTTGGGCTGCTCAATCGCAAGGAAACTGTATGCATCGAAGGCAATTCGTGAGTTGAACGCTCTTAATAAGTCTAAAATTGCGTATTTTTAACCAAATAGAGAATCTGCATACTTTTTTCACATTTTGGGCCTCCGAGACCAGCCTTACAAATGCATTTCCAAGTGTGAGATAGAGCAATACACTTTCCATTGAAACCACAAGGTGGAAATCGCTGAGCACATTCGTGCATTTCGCAGTTCACAATATTTACAAATTCAATAAAGTCTTCTACTAGGTCCACTCGCAGTCCATTTATTATTAGCTAAATAGTCAGTAAATATCACCCTATAATGAAATGTATTAAAAAAACCGCGCAATACGGTTTTCTTACACTCCAATTTTATATAGCAAAGTTATTAATAAAAAATGCGGAGCAATCGTGTTTACATATGACGTAGAAATTGGCACCAGGAATTTGATCAGTATACTGAGTTTTCAGCACGAAAAAAGTAAGTTGTGAAACATTTACGAACTGGTCATAAATGTAGGAATCTAATTACAGTTTTCACACTAATTCCAATGTATGGAATTGGTTAAAAGCAAGCTTATATTTAATAAAACAATCACTACAATGTATTAAGTAGATAAATGTGCATTAAAATCGCCTCAAATAAGTTAGAAACTAAAAAGCAGAAAATGAAAGTGGGTTAGGCTTAAATTCACAAATGCTGAAGAGACTTGACGTAAAATTTTCAAGTGATTACCCCTAGACAAACGTTTAGGATTATAAATTGCGGATCGCAGCCATCCAAACTTTAAAATAATAAATAGTTGCAGATATATAACATTAACAATAATTCTAAATTAAATTGTCAAAATTAATTTCAATCGCAATGTAAGTGCGTGATGATGAAGCAAATGGGCTGCATATAACCAAATGGGTAGAAGTTGTTGTGGTTGTTTAGCAAACGGAACTTATTCAAATTCATTAATAAAAGAAAGCAAAAAGATTTACGAAACATCGGGATGCACTTCACCACTTTTAAATGCTTGACGAA